CAACCCTCGGGATCTCACCCCCCCACTGCCCCCCTCGGGTTCTCTCTCCCCCCCCCCCCCCGCACCTCCTGCCACCCCAGCCCTGGGCTCCCCCCACTAGTGCTGACTCCGCCCGCTCCCCCCTCACCTCCAGCCGGTCCGGCGCTGGCAGGGTCGGGGTAAGCAGCGGGGCTCCCGGGCCGCGCCTCAGCCCAGGGTCCCTCCAGCCAGGGCTCCCGCCTCCAGGACCGGCCGGGACCCAGGAGGGCAGAGCCAGGGGACCGCCCCGGCAGGGGGCTGAGGAGCCGGGGCAGGGTAGCCCCAGAGGGAGCGGAGCCCCGGAGAGCGGGACGTGGGCCCCACACGGCAGCGCTCCGCCCTCTATGGCCCCGCTGCTGCTTCTGGCCACCCTGCCGCAGCCCTTGGGCAGCTCAGGCTGCTTCGCCCAGCCCCGGCTGCGGCGCCGGGGGGCAGCCACCCTGAACCACCTGCAGGCGGCTCCATGTGCCCCGCGGAGCAGCCCCCAGCCCGAGTGTCCCCCGCTTGGAGCCTGCCCGGCCCAGCCACAAGGTGCAGGCGCTGCTCCCCCACGGCACGAACCGCAGCAGCCCCAGGGCGCCCCCCGCGACGACGCGCTGCTGCTGCCAGGGCCGGCTCTAGGTTTTTGCCAAAAAAAGGTGGCTGGAATGCGGCCCCTGAAAATGTGCCGCCCCAAGCACGTGCTTGGTTTGCTGATGCCTAGAGCCGGCCCTGGCCAAGAGGCAATTACCAGTCATTACAGTTCTCACCCTACGGCTGCTACGTTGGCTGCTTGTGACAATCTCCTTCAATGTTGTTCTTTTTCAGCTCTCAGCCTACAGTGCATTCGAGATCAGAAGATTCCAATTGCTCTGGGTGTCATCATCGCAGTGCTGGTCTCCGTTATAATTGCACTGGCCGGTGAGTGCAGAGCCCTGACGCCCCTGATCTCAGGGGCTAATTCTCAGTCCCTCCTTTCGTGGCCACAGTACAGGCTGGGCACTGGGCCTCCCCAGGAGAGGAGTGGGACAGGGGTTGGGGAACCTGGGGGTCAGGCAGAGGTTGAGGGTGATGTAGGGTGTGTGTCTCCGTCGGGTGTTTGAGTCCCTTCTCTGGCAGGGACCCACATTCAGACACCAGCTCCAGGAGCAGGACGATCTCTCACCACAGCGCTACTTGCTTATTTTCAGTGAGAGCCCCCCAGGCTTGCCCGCCCCCCATCTCCGCCGCGTGCCCGGACGACTGGATCGGAAACCGAGGCAAATGCTACTTCTTCTCCAAGATGGAAGGGAACTGGACATCCAGTCAAAGCAAATGCTCTTCACTCAGCGCCTCCCTGGCTGTGATTGACTCCCCGCAGGACCTGGTGAGGGAGAGACGCTTGCGCGTTGCAAACACAGCTGAGGGTTCCAGACAATTCTTCAGGGCGAGCCACTGACCCGCGCCGCTCAGGAGGTGCAAAGCGAGGGGAGGCCGGCCCTGAACGGCCAGCGTTCGGGGAATCTCTGCTGGCGCAGGTGGCATAGTCCCCATGAAGCAAGAGCTCTGCTAACCCCAATGCATCGTGGGTATGAGGTCACCCAGGGATACTAAGCCAGCGGCATAATTTAAAGCAACTGCCCTGACTTAGTTCTAGGCTCGGCCGAACTCCATTTTTATTTTGACAGATAATATCAATGTTTATTTTTAAGCATTTTTTTTAAACCATCAATTTACATTTTCGCGGTAACGGGGAAGTGACAGGAGGCTCAGACAGTAGGGGGCGTTAGCAATCATTCTTTAGTGACAGTAGAGTAGGGGTAGTCAATTATCTTTTGTCAGGGTCCAAGTTGTTTGGTCAAGGTCAAGGGCCAGACTCCAGAGAAAATAATAATCATAATTTAAAAGATTTCTGGAGTACGTTCAAAAGCATCTGGTAGTTTGGATGGGCCCACAGTCCGCGTATTGACTACTCCTGCGGTAGAGGTTGAGATTCAAAAAACTGAAGCTTTTTGACCTTTAAGAGTCTGGCCTCAGGGAACTTGCAGACTGCAAATGGCTCGGCTGGACGTGTTCACGGGCTAAAACCGCCCCAAATACTTCTGGTCAAATCCTGTGGGACAGATGAACAAGTTCTCCCACAGCCCACTGTGGAGAAATATAATATATGGAGATATACCTATCTCATAGAGCTGGAAGGGACCCTGAAAGATCATTGAGTCCAGCCCCCTGCCTTCACTAGCAGGACCAAGTACCTATTTTTCCCCAGATCCCTAAGTGGCCCTCTCAAGGATTGAACTCACAACCCTGGGTTTAGCAGGCCAATGCTCAAACCACTGAGCTATCCCTCCCCCCAAGGGGGCTAGGAACCCTAGAAAAGGATAGTACACGCCCATAGAAGCTGCAGTTCTGACTTCAGTTCAGGCCTGTGTATCGCGATAGGGACACACCAGCACCGTTCAGATGTCTGGGTTTCCACTCCAGCACGGGCTTGGAAACACAAGTCCCAAAGACCTTCGCTTAGCGTGCGGTGTAGACATTCCCAAATTGTCCGCATCATATGTCAAAGGACAAGGTAAATAGCCTTAAACCAACCACTAATAAGTTCCCAAGCAACATTTTTGTTGTTTTGCCCAGTTGTAAATTTCAATTATCGATGAAAATATTTTTTCATCAATCTGTGAGTGGGTGTTGATGAAACAGACATTTATCGGCATTTACCTTTAAAAATCTAATCCTTCCAAGCCAACTTATTTAGCTGGCCCACATTCCCAGAGTACCTGAGCACCTCACAATCTTTAATGTATTTAACCTCACAACTAGAGGTGTGTGAATAATTGATTTTTTTGGTTTGGTGGCCAAAATGAAAAATCCAAGGGGGAAAAACTTGGTTCATTTTGAACCAAAACTGAATTTGGGTGATTTAACTCAACCAAATGAAAGACCACAAGACATTTAGTTCAGATTCAAACTAAACATTTCCCATGTCAGTTCAAAACAGAAGGTCAAACGAGTTCATTTCAAGATTTTCACAATGAATCATTTTCGACATCTTGGTTTTCAATGTTTTTTGGCCAAAAACTATTCACCAAATCCAGCTTGATTATGGTATATAAAAACCTTCATGGGGAGAAAATGCCAGGTAGTAAAGGGCCTTTAGCTTAGCGCAGAAAGTCATAACAAGAATGGCTGGGAGCTGAAGACAAAGTCAAGTCAGAGATTGGGCACAAATATTTAACGGTAGGGTGCTTAATCATTGGTACAAGCTACTGAAGGAAGCGACAGGTTCTCCATCTCTTGAAGGCTTCGAATCCAGACCGGGTGCCTGGCTGGAAGATCTGCGTTAGCCAAACACCAGTTCTTGGGCTCAATAGCGGGAGGAACTGGTGAAAGGTGAAGGCCTGTGTTAGACAGAAGATCAGACTGGAAGGTAGAAGGGTCCCTTCTGGCCCAAACTCTATGAACCTATGAAATTTCTCCTGCTAAATTTGGGGCAAGAGGGTAACTTTGAGGACACGCATCAGAGTTAAGAAGTGGATACCAAAGCATATGCTTCTAAGGGGGAGAGCAGCTCCTGGGGAATCAAAGGCGGAGGGTAATTGAGGCCGGAGAATGAGGAACATGGCAGATATTTTGCTTTGCTTTCTGTAGGATTTCATGCTGCGCTATAAAGGGCCCCCTCACCACTGGATTGGCCTATGGAAGGAGCTGGACCAGCCCTGGAAATGGCCCAATGGAACCGAATTCAACAACATGTGCGTCCTTTTCTCTCTCTGGGGTACAGAGAACTGTAATAATCCCTTGGGCTTGGGTCATTAGCAGGAACAGAACCCACATCCACAAAAACAACTCAGCAGCTGGTGCCCCCATGTGGCTGGGTGCAGGGTGGCTGGGCCTTCCCCTTGGTCACCTCCTCCTGTTGGGTTGCCCACATGGGTTTCCCATGGCCTAGCCCTCCAGGCTGGTTGCCCAAAAGTTCAGTCCCCTTCCAGGGCATTGAAGTCCAGCTGTAAGTTGGACAGGGCCCAAGCTGGCATCCCCCAGCTGGCCTCTTCAAGTCCCTTCGGCCAGCTCCCCCTGTAGGCCGGCAGCAAAGTCCTTCCAAATCAAACGGAACCGCAGTCTCCTTTCACAGAGCAGCAGGTCCCGTGGCTTCTATCAAACTCAGTCTATACAGACAAGACAAAGAATAAAAGGGGAAACAACCTTGTCAGAGCAACAGAGCCAGGATTAAAAAGCAGATCTCCTGAGCCACAGACCCGGCGGCTTCTCTGTATGGACTAGGGAATGCCTGTTGGTTTCATTTACAGTCCTCCTTCCTGCCTGTTGCAGGTTTCCAGTGAGAGGGGAAGGGCAGTGCGCTTTCCTGGATGACATTGGTGTCAGCAGCTCCAGATGCTACTCGGAAAGAGGTTTCATCTGCAGCCGGCCAGACGACTGCACTAGAAGGAAGCCAAGCGCCGCCAGAGGGGACACTGTCTAAGCTTAAGGGACCGCTGCAAACTCTTCAGTGATCGCAGAACTCGCACAATGGTCATTTTTAGGGGGCATCCTACCTCTGCAGCCATGGCTTTGCACAGACGCCTGCAGAAATCCCAGTGACAAACACTAACCTCCTGCAAGATTACTCCGTTACCACGCTGGGTTTTAAACCCTTTTTGTTTTTAGAAAAGGTGAATGTTGGGATCCCCTTGATATAATTCTGTGACCTTCATAACGAACTCAGATTCTGCAGAATCTCCGCTTTTTTTTTTTTAAAGTGTAAGTTTCTAGCCTTTGTGGTTTCGAAGAGAACTGTTCTAATATGAACAGAGCTTGAGTCTGCAAAGAGCCTGCCATGACTCAGGGTACATCTACACTACGGGGGGGAGTCGATTTAAGATACGCAAATTCAGCTACGTGAATAGCGTAGCTGAATTCGACGTATCGCAGCCGACTTACCCCGTTGTGAGGACGGCGGCAAAATCGACTTCTGCGGCTTTCTGTCGGCGGCGCTTACTCCCACCTCCGCTGGTGGAGTAAGAGCGCCGATTCAGGGATCGATTGTCGCGTCCCGACAGGACGCGATAAATCGATCCCCGAGAGGTCGATTTCTACCACCCGATTCAGGCGGGTAGTATAGACCTAGCCTCAGAAAAGTGCCTTATCATCAGGGCCGGTGTAACCACTAGGTAAACTAGGCGGCCGCCTAGGGCGCCAAGATTTGCGGGTGCCAAAAAGCAGCGCCCCCCAAAAATGTTCACACTATTGCTGGAAAACGAATGAATAAAGAAAAGAAAAACGTCGTTGAACTCGCATTTTAACTTGTCGCTCTTCTCTCGTACATTACAACTATAGTCTATGCGTTGCAGGCACAAGCGTACTACTTCACTACACTACAAAGTGGCAACAACCTCATTTTTCTCGTCGCGCGCAGCCATTACCCGTTCCGACAGCTGTTTATAATGCCAAGTTTACTAGTTTTTGGAGGTTGTCGACTGAGGTTAACTAGTTTTGTTGAGTTGTTTCAGATCTAAGACTCTGGCAAATTGCTGCTGCATCATTTCGCTAATACATAACATACTGACACAAAGTATTTGCGTGTATATGTTTATCATGTGTGAATATGCGTGTGTAGGGTGTTGAAATTTGTCATATTGATATTGTCAGTTGTTGTTGTATGACAGAGTTGTTATTTTAAGATGCATGCTATGTTGTGCAAAGTGAAAACAATAACAATGTCAACACTGTCAGTTTATTCATTTATTTTCATTAAATATGTAGACTAAATAATGAAATTAATACATTTTCAAGACGAACGTGTATTAATTCTAATGAACAATGCCACATTATGCAGTATTCATTTTCGAAAGTTTATAGTAAGTGATGCTCCGGGGGGGGAATGGAGGGGGGGCACAAGGTGCAAGTTTCTCCTAGGGTACAAAATATCCTTGCACCGGCCCTGCTTATCATGGAATTGGTGTGTTAACTCTGAAAACTATCAATGGCTGTGGGATCTAGACCAGCCAACATGACCCGACTCCAGGAAAGAGATTTTCAGATTTCAGGCCTCTGGACTCTACGCTATCACCCTAAACTTTGGGGGAAGGCCTAAAAATCAGAGTGCATTGAAATTTTTCATTTAGAAACATTAAAATTTCAAATTTTTAAAAATAAGGAGAAAATGTTTGATAAATGTCTCTTTTTTTCCCCGAGCCAACTCCGCTAGAAATGAAGTGGTAGAGCCTGCTGGGACCCTCCTTTCAATTCCATCTCAAAAACTTGATGACATGGTCTGAGTGGATCAGGGGGAAACATATTTTGAAAGGAAACCTTTTTCCTCCAAGAAAATGGCTTTTTACCAAAAACAAACATGTCTGTGTAACCCTTGAGAGGGGAAGTGATATCTTTTATTGGACCAACTTCTGCTGGGGAGAGAGAGAGATGAGCTTTCAAGCTACACCGAGCTCTTCAGGTCTGGGAAACGTACCCTAAACCCCCCTGTATTCACACCCTACACTCCACTGCAATTATATTTGCCCAAAATATACCGTGTAAGAGATCATTTGAATACTAATAGCATGCTGGCCAAATGCATGTGTTAACCAAATACGTGAAGTTCTGAATTCCCCGTGTATCATGGTCCTAGAACAGGCCTGTCCTATAGACAATGTGGCTTTGCCTCGGTTTATATATTAGCCCGAACAAAGGGTTCAAGCAAAGCAGCAGGGGTTGTCTTGAGCCCAAACTTGAGACAGAGAATTAACCCGGCTCCTGCACCTCAGAGAGACACAGGCATGGGCGGCGGATGAAGCTTTCCCTGGGGGAGGTTAGCTCCCCGTCCCGCCTTTTCCACCCGTGGCCCCGCCCCCACTCCACTCCCGCCCTGGCCCTCCCATGCTCAGACCCCTCCCTGCTCACCCCCCCCCCCCGCCCACCGTCGTCTCTCCTCTCCTCCACCCTCTGTGGGGACAGGGGGGTTAGGAGTGATGCAGTGAGCAGCAGGCGGGGGGGTGTCTCACGGGGGCGGGGGATGAAGAGGGACATGGCAAGTGGCGGGCGGGAGGGGCTCACAGAGAGCGGTGGAGGAAAGGAGGGATGTGGTGAGCGGTGGGGACATCTGGAGGGGGAGGAGAGGAGGGAGGGACTCAGCCAGGCAGCGGTGGGCAGTGTGGGCCTTGAGGAAGTGGGGCAGCAGGGAGGGGAAGCGGCGGAGCGCAGGCGGGGCCACCACGGCCCAGGCGTCTGGCGGCAGGGTGGTGGCCCCACCGCCCATGGACGCAAGAGACTGAATCCCCATGGGGCCTTCCGAACTTTGAAAACAAAGACAATTCTTTGGGACAGAGAGATTCTCCATCCTGATCTGCCACTTAAGACGACAAGGAAAACCAGCACCTTGTACTTCTATGGAAGGCCCTGAGGCCATGTCTACACTACAAACTTATGGTGACGCAAGTTACATTGGCCGAAAGCTGCCGCAGGTTCGACATCGCTTGTGCTCATTTATACTTGGCTCCAGAGTCACCCAGAGGGGGGCACAAGTGGGGCAATTTGCCCCAGCCCTGGGCCCCGCAGGGGCCCCACGAGCCCTGGCCGAAAATCCCTTTCCTCACCCAGCGGCGGTCCGGGTCTTCAGCGGCTCTTCGGCGGCGGGTCCTTCAGTGCTGCCGAAGACACGGAGCGACTGAAGGACCCGCCGCTGCCACAGACTCAGAGCACCGCCCAGTGAGTACAAGCGCTCCCCCACTTTGCCCCAGGCCCCCTGAATCCTCTGGGCGGCCCTGCTTGGCTCCCTGCGATGGCGGTGCGCGTACTCACCGAGAGCGCTTGTATCCATCTACAGTGATGTGCCCCATGGGTAGGTGCCAGTTGCCACTGGGAAGTTTTGGCCATGCAGGATGGGGCCAATATAAGTCACACAGGGTGAGGTGGGAACATGGAGTCAAGTTCCCAGTGTGTCACTGCCCAGACACACACAGCGAGAGACAGTCCCTGCCCCAGCTGAGATCAGGGCCCCGTTGTGCCAGGCGCTGCACAAACACACAGGGAGAGACAGTCCCTGCCTCAAAAATCTGCCAATCTAAATAGACAACACCAGATTATTATCCCAATTTCACATGTAAGGAACTGAGGCCCAAGAGGATGAAGTGACTTATCCGTGGTTACACAGAAAGTCTGTGGCAGAGCCAAGAATTGAACCCTGGTCTTTTCACTCTCTGCCTTTCCTCCACAGCCACCCTGCCTTGAGTGGTGGCTGCTAGAAAATAGTTTAAAAAATGAACAACAACCTCTTCTTCTCCCTGGAAATTCAGGTTCCAGCTCCCCTACGTTTCCCTGGAGACTATGTAAAATGCCGGAGAACTGGTAGGATTATGATGATACCAGGGAGTCCATACAAGGGAAACCTGATTCATCAAGACAAGAAGAGATTCTCTCTTGAAAACGCCTAGTTGTTTATTTGTTAACTCCAACACTTGGGAGAAAAGCAGTCTGCGTTAAAGACTCACTAGCTCCGCTTCTTCCATTAGCCCTGTGTCGTGACGTGCCTGGATTGTCCTAATCCACCCCGGTTCATCTCATAACTGCAAGATTGCTGGATGCCCCACCCCAGCTCCCTTTAGGCTGAGAGCCGGTGTGAATGTGAACAACAGCAGAGGACAGAAACAGTGTGAGAACTTTCCGTTCAGTAGAGGTGTGATAACATCTTGGGTGCAAGGTGTCTAGAGCTCTGTTAACCACACGCTTGTTTGCTGTCTGGTTTTGCTAAAACCCTGGCCATGTTTCCCTTGACTCACCCCTCCCAACACCGTCTGGCTCACAAAACCCATGTTCACTGACCTCACAGATGTTATCCACATAACAGGATCGGCCGCCCCCTGCGTACCCTCTCACGGCCAGGTGTGACGCCTCGGTGCCCTGCCTCAGTTTCCCCTCGTGGGCCCTCAATACATTCCAACAGTCCACAAGTCCAATCAAAGCCCTTCTTGGGGTACCATAAATTCCAAAACAAACAAGAAAAGGTCTTCCGGCCCAGCCTTAAGCTGGGCCTAGACCCTAGACCTCCTCCCTGAGTGTTCTCTGGGCAGCTGGCGGAGACGTAAGGCCTGGTCTGCCTTCTCCCCAACAGAAACCAAAACTTTCAGCTGGGTTTTTCTATCCAACCACAACACCCTTCCTCCGGGACCACTGCAGCAGGCTTCACTTCTTTTCCTCTCTGGCTGTTTCTAGAGACCAGCTACCCTCTCTGGGTACCTCTACCCTGCAAGAAAAGCCCTGCAGCATAGCCGCGGCTGGCCCAGATCACCTGACTTGTGTGTTTCTTTAATGCCTTTATTACTGATTCCTAGCAGCACCCACTCCGTGCTTGGAAGTTTCCAAGAAGCGGGGAGAGGGAGTTCAGGATTAGAGATGATTTAAAAACAAACAAAGAGAATTTCCATCCCATGGGAAATTCCCATATTTTGAGATTTTTGTTTCATCCCAAATTGTGACAGAAAGTCAAGAGACTGATATTTTTCTAGGAGCAAAACGTTCCAAAACATTTTTGGTTTGGGAAAATGTCAATGAAAATGACATTATTTTTTAGATTTTTTGGTGACATTTTCAGTGGAAAACTTTGACTTGTTGAAAACAAAACATTTTCAGAGAAAATCTGGGGGGTGGGAATCAGTGTTTGGTTTTCCGATGGAAAAATCAAATATTTCTGAGGCCAGCAGAAACTTTCTGTGGAAATGGGCATTTAGCCAAAACACGCCAATTGTCCATCCAAAAAACATTGTTGGAAAATTTCCCACCAGCCCTACTTTCAAGCCCATTTCTGGACTGTTGGACATGAAAAAACAAGACGAACGTTAAGAGCTGACGGCTGTGAGTGGCCGTCTCGCTGGGTCTGGTTTTATTACCATTTATTCCTTGAACGCAGACTAAAGCCGTGGGAAACAAGCGGTGATCCCAGACACAAGACTGTCTGTGCATTGGCTCTGTATGGTGCTCGAAGCTGGGTTCTACTACCTAACTGAGGTAGGATCCCCACTGATTTTCATTACACTTGGGCACCTACCTCCATTAGAGACCTCTGCAAGGGCAGCCTAGAGCACAGTTGTGTTGGGGGAGAAAGTACAATATATTTAAGCCATTCCCCTAAGCCCACACAGTAAGGAGGGGGATGGGACTTCAATCGAGACATTTCCTGGTTTGAGGGGATGTTGGCCATTTTAGCCCACACATAAGCTACCATTACACAGTACAACCCCGCTCATCTCCTCCGGTGACAGCCATGGCTGGGGAAACAGTCTATGCTTATTTAAACATCCCTGGAGATCCTTCCTCCAGAGGCAAAGTGGCTCCATCTCAGCATCACAGTGAGTTTTGCTTTGTGGTGTTTAAACAGGGCTGGTGGATTCTGGGGGGCTGGGATCTTGTTGGCTGTAATAGGTTTTTAACCAGCAGCTTGAGCGATGAATGGGAGGTCGGGGGGTCAGGCCCCCAGATGGTGGACATGGACATAGCTCCACTGAATTTAGTGGGGTCACTCTGGATGTACCCCGGTATAATTCGGATGAGAAGCTGGTCCTAACTCCAGCGATTTCACTGAGGTCACTCAATTTTCAATAGGGGGTAATAGGTCAGATCAGAATCTAGCCCTGACTCCGGGAGGGGGGAGAAAATACCTAACATGTCTTTAAAATGAGTGTAATCTAACCTGGGACCAGTGAAATCTAACTCTGCATGTCCTGGGTTTGTTATGTTTGGCTTTGGGATATTACATCCTCCCTGGAAGGTTTTGAACCATAAAAACCTGATACATTCTCTCAGCCTTTCCAGCTTCATGTATTTTTTTGCCTTGAACTAAACAGAGGACTAGAGGCTGAGCTTCGGGTTACCATCAGTCCGGGTTTTCCCAGAGATGACCTCTTTTTTGGTCCTCCTATCTCCGTCCGGGTAGACTTCTGAAATATAAACAAGTGTCTTCAGAAGTGGGCAGCCAGTGAGCAGTGGCTGCTGGCTGGCTGCCCAGCTCTGAAGACAGCGCTGCTGCTGGCACCAGCGCAGCAGTAAGGGTGGCATGGTACCTGTGACGTTGCACCTCATAATGCTTTATAGAAATATGCTTGTGTGTGTAAATATGATATAACTGGAATATGTTTTATGCTACATATGCCATGTAACATATCCCTGCAAAGGTTATGATCTACTGAATATATTCATCCTATTTGTATACATGTGTCATTTTTGTATTTGGAGTTATGAATATTGGCTGCGTACTTGTTTGATTTTAAGTAGCCTCAGTGAAGAATGTGGTCAGCTTCTTGAGAAAAGACTATTCTCAGTAAGTGCCCAATCAAGAAACACTTAATCTGACAATAGATTTTAATAGATGCCAATCCACATCTGAGCTTTCCTGGGAACGTTCCTATAGAGAACTAAGTCATGTATGGACATGTGACTTGCCCAGGTGACACCAAAACTCAGTCTTGTAAAGGGGATTCTACACGGGGGTGGGGGGGTAGGGTTCTACCCAAAAGAGAGAAACTATATAAAGTCCTGGGAGACCCCTCCATTTTGTCTTCAGCTAGCTCAAGAGATAGCTCTCCACTCCCCAAAGGATAACTGAAAGAAACTGGAACAAAGGACAGTAACCACAAGGGTGTGAGTGATTGCTGGACCCAGACTAGAAGGAGGCTAGTCTGTAAAAGAAGCTTACTGGAACATCTCTGAGGGTGAGGTTTCATCTGTAATCACTTTCTTACTGTACTAGGCTTAGACTTGCGTGTTCTATTTTATTTGGCTTGGTAATTCACATTGTTCTGTCTGTTATTACTTGGAACCATTTAAATCCTACTTTTGTATGTATTAATACCTGGGAGGGGGCAAACAGCTGTGCATATCTCTCTGTCAGTGTTATACAGGGTGAACAATTTATGAGTTTACCCTGCATAAGCTTTATACAGGGTAAAACGGATTTATTTGGGGTTTGGATCCCATTGGGAGCCAGGCATCTAAGTGCTGGAGAAGGAGCACTTCTTAAGCTCTTTTCAGTTAAGCCTGCAGCTTTTGGGGGACGTAGTTCAGACTGGGGCCGTGTTTGTAGCAGGCTAGCGTGTCTGGCTCAAACCAGGCAGGGCACTGAAGTCCCAAGCTGCCAGGGAAAATGGGCTCACAGGTCGTTTCACACATCAGGTGGCAGTTCCCACGGGGGTTTCTGTGATCCAACCTGTTACAGTATCCCTCTTCCCATTCCAACTCCCCCTCCTCCTAGCAGTGTCCTCTATTTGGGAACTTGAAAGATGGTAACCCTACCTCAGCTGGTATAAATTTGCATAGCTCTAGGCACTTCACTGGAGCTACGGCCGCTGTACAGCAGCTGCGGAGGTGTCCCTAGATTCCTCTAGCCCCTAGGACCAGGTCAGAGTAACGTGAAATGCTTTGACTTGCTCGTGAGACGGCATCACTGACCTCATTCCCTGTTACAGTCTGACTGCCAGATCCCCGGCACGGGTACAGCACTGTAGCTCCCTTGCAATGTACAGAGCTTTGCTGATTCACACCCGCTGAGGATCTGGCCTTGATGGCTCCATTTCCCAAGGTGCTCAGCACTCACCAGTGGCGCCAGGGCTTCGGAGGGTCTCAGCTCTCATTTAGGCACCAAAATAAGGGCCTAGATTTTCAGGAAGGCCCAGCAGGTTGGGTGCTGAGTGAAACTGGCTGGGAATCTGCCACCAAAATGTCTTTCCACTGGGAAAAATGAAACAAAATGTCAAAGTCAGTTTGACTTGAACTTGTGTCTATTTGAGCTGCTGCAGTGCCTCATGGGAGTTGTAGTTCACCTCTCTCCTGTCGCCATTCTCCTCTATGGGCTGGAACAGACTACATCTCCCATGGTGCACAGCAGCCTCCCCTCTGGCTGAGTCACCACAGTGCACCATGGGAGTGCAACACAAACATGACCACATATGTCCAGGCATGCCCTGGCAGGTGTATTACATCTGTGTCTGAGCATCTTCTCCCTGTTTCACCAAAGGGGGTGGCGTGGGTTTCTTGGTTATTGTGCGATGTTTGTGTAACGCTGACAGACGCTGGTCGTCGACGGGCAGGATTGAACCTGGGGCCTCTGGAGCTTAGCACATGAGCTAAAAGCAAACTGGCTGTGAACTAAGGCTGTAGAGCAGATTCATTTTCTCTCTCTCTCTCTCTAAGTGGTCTCGGTGCCACTAGAAGGGACAGACACCACCCCCAGAAGTTGAGTGGGTTACATTTGCACAGGAAACATTTCTAGAGTTATGTAACATTCAGAATACCAGTTTCCAAAATTGGTGGAGAAGAAACTTGTCACCTGAGGCTGGGTGGGTCTCAAAGCTGACTCAGTCAACACTGAGAACAATCGACATCCACAAAGAGGTGGACAAATGGAGAGCAACAAAAGTGATGAAAGGTCTAGAAAACATGAACTATGAGGAAAGATTGAAAAAAACAGGCGCGTTTAGTCTGGAGAGGAGAAGACGGAGGGAGGACATGATAATAGTTTTCACGTACATAAAAGGTTGTTACAAGGAGGAGGGTCAAACATTGTTCTTATTAACCTCTGAGTATAGGAGAAGCAATGGGCTTAAATTGCAGCAAGGGAGGTTTAGGTTGGACCTTAGGAAAAACTTCCTAATGTCAGGGTGCTTCAGCACTGGAATAAATTGCCCAGGGAGGTTGTGGAACCTCCGTCACTGGAGTTTCCACAGTCAACCTGTGGAACTCTTTGCCGGAGGATGTTGTGAATGCCAAGACTATCACAGGGTTCAAAAAAGAACAAGATACATTCATGGAGGATAGGTCCATTGATGGCTATTAGCCAGGATGGGCAGGGATGGTGGCCCTAGCCTCTGTTTGCCAGAAGCTGGGAATTGGCAATAGGGGATGGATCACTTGATGATTCCCTGTTCTGTTCATTCCCTCTGGGGCACCTGGCACTGGCCACTGTGGATACTGGGCTAGACGGACTTTTGGTCTGACCCCGTATGGCCGTTCTCATGTTAACAGGTTAGACAAACACCTGTCAGGACTGGTCTAGTTATTACATAGTCCTGCTGTGAGCACAGGGGACTGGACTAGATGACTTCTTGAGGTCCCTTCCAGTCCTACATGTCTATGATTCCCTGTGTTTTCAGTCTGGGGCAGATGCAAACTTGATTTTGACAAGGTAAAGCTCTGGGACTGTATAGGAGAAGTGAAACAGGTACAAATGTTACATGGAAGCAACAATTCTGCCAGCAGGTGTCTCATGAAAAGTGAATCCCAGCTCTCTGGAAGAACGGACCATTGAGTGAGAAATACCTTATTAGCCAGGAAAGGACTATGTTAACAAGTACAGGCTGTAGATTTCCTTTCTTTTTAATTATTTTATTTTACCTATAACCGTATGTTTCCACATCCTTTTACTGGCTTTCGTTTTGAATCTGTAGCTCATGCACTCTTAAAAGAAACTTCAATTTGGTTTTACTGGAGCCACGTCTAAGTGCCGTATGCTAATGAGAGTGCCAAACTGATGTGAAACCTGTAAACTGGGGTGCAGTGCTTTCCCAGAGCAGCGGATCGATGTGCATTGCAGGTGTCCAGAAGACAAGGACTGGGCGCCCGAGTGTAACAAAGTGGGGCGTATAAACTACAGAAAGACGGGACTCGAGGAGCTCAGAGCGGAACGCGGGTGTTGCCGACAGCTGGTAGCTTTGGAAGGGTTTTCCCTGGTGGGCACAGACAAGGCTCCCTCCTGCTTGGAGCAGATAGCAGCAATTTGCCCTGGACCCCTCGGGTTTCCCCAAAAAGTGTCACAGGGAGTCCCTTGTTGGTAGTGGGAAGTGGAAACAGGCAAGGCCACATTATCCGAGGGTAGAGAGCCCCTTGCAAGCTCCAAAGGCCTGTGAGTGAAGCACACGGTATTAGCTGAACTGTGCACATTGACTCTTGCAGATCCCCCGCGGTGCCCGTACTGGCATTGGCTGGCTCTGGGCCTCACATTGGCTGGGAACGTCGTGCTGCTGGGAGTGGTGACGGCGCTGGCTGCTCGGGGTGAGTGCGCCAAAACCGTGCGTTTGGGCTGCACAGCAACGCACCATGAACGCAGCACAAGTTGCTAGGCTCAGTGCAGGAATGGCCGGGTGGACTTCTCTGGCCTGTGCGATACAGGAGGTCAGACTAGACCAGGGGTGGGCAAACTATGGTCCGGGGGCCGCATCTGGTCCATCAGACATTTTAATCCAGCCCTCAAGCTTCGGCCGGGGAGCGGGGTCTGGGGCTTGTCCCGCTCCACACAGCTCCCAGAAGCAGCGGCATGTCCCTCTTCCAGTTCCTACGCGTAGGAGCAGCCAGGGGGCTCCTGCACACTGCCTCTGCCCCAAGCGCTGCCTGCAACTCCCTTTGGCCGGGAACGACGGCCAATGGGAGCTGCGGGGGCGGCGCCTGCAGACGGGGCAGTGCGCAGAGCCACCTGGCCGCGCCTGCATGGAGGAGCTGGAGGGGGAACATACCGCTCCTTCCAGGAGATGCTTGAGGTAAGCACCACCCAGAGCCTGCACCTCTGACCTCCTCCATGCACCAACCCTCTGCCCCAGCCCTGATCCCCCTCCCACCTTCTGAACCCTTCGATCCCAGACTGGAGCACCCTTCTGCACCCCAAACCCCTCATCCCCAACCCCACCCCAGAGCCCAAACCCCCAGCTGGAGCCCTCACCCCCCAGCACCCCAACCCCAGCCCAGAGTCCCCTCCCACACCCTGAACTCCTCATTTCTGGCCCCACCCCAGAGCCCACAACCCCAGCCAGAGCCCACACCCCCTCCTGCACCCCAACCCCAATTTCATGACCCACTGTACAATTTCCATACCCAGATGTGGCCCTCGGGCCAAAACGTTTGCCCACCCCTGGACTAGACCATCATAATGCTGCCTTCTGACCTTGGAATGGATGAATCTATTACACTGCTGCACTCTAGGCCAGATTCTAACTGGTGCAACTAACTGGTGTTGCTCCATTCATTTGCGCCAGCTCGGAGTCTGCCCCCATTGACCCCAATGGGACTTTGGCCAATTCACACCAGGTGGAGATCTGGCCTAGTTACTCCAATGGAGCTCTGGCTGATTCACCCCAGCCCAGTCTTTTCCAATCTTTGGCTTCCAACAACCATCCACAGAGAAATTTTCTCCAAGGTCCCCTGATCCCATCGCCCATCGGAGCCGACCCAAAAACGATGGGGAACGAAACCGCAGCTCAGCCCAGTCCTAAAGGAAGAGGATGCAGCGACTTGGAGGAGTTCCGCTCTCACCTGCGGCAACATTTGTGTTATACACAAAACAACCAGTCAGCAGGTAACCCCAGCTCATGCTGCCTCCCGCAGTCACTGTTACAGGCACTGATGGTTCCCAAAGCAGAGCCGCTCTCGCACCCCCTCTTCTCTCCCATCCCTTCAGATCTGTTTAATATCTCCAGGGACACTCAGCCTCAGCAGTGACAGCGACTGGCCAGGGCAGGTAACTGCAGGCTTGAATCATTCCGGCAACTTTAATAGACTCCTGTAGTTTAGCTGTCATGGGACCAAGAGACGCTGAGATGGCCCCGACCCAACACGTTCACAGTGTAAATAGACAAGACACTCAGAAGGGGAAACTGAGGCACAGGACAGGCCATGACCTGCCCAAGGACACAGCAGGCTAGTGACAGGGCCCAGAACAGAACACGGCTCTTCTGAGCCCTAGGTCAGGGTCTCAACCACAAGACCAACCTTCATTCTAATGCCCACCAGAGCTCTGCGCCTCTATATTATCCTTCACCTGAAAGATGGCACCACCTGGGGAACAGCATCTGGTATAGAGTCAAGAGCCCCCCACTTCTGAGTCAGACACCCCTCCTCCCTGCTGCACAGCACCCCCTAGTTCAATGGGACTTTCGTGGGTGAGCCCTGACTGTGAGCGGAGAGCACCCCCTACAGAGTCCCCCATCCCACTCCCTGCAGCACAGCGTCCCCCAGTGCTGGAGTCTTGGGGTCAGCCCTGCGTGTGAGCAGCCACGAACCCCAATCTCATTCCCTACAGTGTCCTCTAGCCCCACACTGGGGCCTTGGGAACAGCACGGACTGCAGAGAGAGAACGCCTCCTACCGAGCCCCCACACTGCTCCCTGCAGCACAGCGCCCCCTGCTGCTGGGACATTGGGGTCCAGCCCGACTGATGTTTTAGTCTTGCCCACATACTGATCCCATCTCGCCCACATACTCACCCCGTCTCTGCCGCTAGGCCCCAGTCCTGGGTTCAGTAAAGCCCTGAGCATGAAGGCTCCATGCATCTCTGTAAACGTGGTCAGCCCTGTTCAGAATGATCATTAACGACACCTCTCTTCCATTTCCCCCTCCAGAGGGTTCCAGCTGCAAACTCTGCCCCAAGGACTGGCTGCTGCATGGGAACAAGTGTTACTGGTTTTCTACAGCGATTAAAAGCTGGGAGTGGAGCTGTGACGACTGTTTAATGAAGAGAGCACAACTGCTAGTGATCCATGACCGGGAGGAGATGGTAAAGAATGTGCTATATTCAACTGCAGGATGTGTGTTGCTATTAATTACAGCTGGTCCAAAATCACAGTTTTCCCTCCAGTGGCAAATTAAAGAAACATTTTGGTACTTTTTGCAAGAAACTTTTGTTGTGAAAATGAAACCAACTTTTCGTTTCAGTTGTATAAAACTGAAAAATGTTGAATTTTTTCTCATTCCCCTCCCTTTTCTCCCCTATTGAATCCAACAGACTGAGTCATGTCCCTAGTAGATTTGTCTGCCCCTTGACCTTGACCACGGTTGAGATGAGGTCCCATGTGCACAGCAAGCAACTGAGCCAGCGAATCATGTTCTGGTCACTCTGACATGTCGTCCATTTCACAGGCGTCCATAGGGAATATTACACGGGACCAACATCAGGTGTGGATTGGACTTAACATCACATCCCCAGAGAGGATGTGGACCTGGCAGGACGGATCCCCGTTAAATCAAACACTGTGAGTGATTCCTCATTAGGATTTTGATCCGTCTACAATAAATAAACCAGTTAACAAGAGTTTTGTCCTGGATTTCAATGGGGCCAGGATTTCACACACACTGGTTTATGGTATAGGGCCCTAATCCTGAAAATGCTTCTAGACGTGCTTAATGTTAACTCTCCTTGAAGCCAACGGAATGACTCACGTCACGTGAGACAAGTTAAGCGAGCAGATCATACGTCTTTG